TAAGAGTAAGACAAATGACTGGTAGGAAAAGAACTCTAAAACTAAATTTTTCCAACATCCCTGAATGTGGTTTCATCTCAATGTGAGAGGAATAAAGGTGGCAACACATCCAGGGTACTTCATTGGATGGGTCCAATGGATATCATTATAAGCTATGAGTTGAAGCAACATGGACTGCTGGACAGGACTAGACTATCATACATCAGAGGCTCTTTGTATCAAATCTTTTTCACTAAAGATGGGCTTTGTTTCTAGCTTAGAATTTGAACTGATTTGCATATGCCACATAAAATCCAATCTTCCCTGGCACTTCCTTCTACTTAGCATTTAATTAAATAATATGGATTCCTTCCTTTTACTTCTTAGCATCTCATTAAATAATATGTGGCTCAAATGCTGCTTATCTGTAATGAAGGCTATAGACTGGTTTCCCAGAATCAAGCAAGTATATATAACTTTTAGGGAATTCCCAGATTACCTAAAGCAAATGAGACCTTGAACCCAACACGAACAATCCCATCCTAGGGAACTTGCAAGTTATCTCAATTATTGCTAAGAATATTTTAAATTTACAAATAGTCCTTGGCATTTGATGCCACAAAGCATTGGCATTCGAATCATATTAGGAAAGATTGGTTATTCAGTAGAGAACTAAGACAGAATGGGAATTTAAACATGGCCATCAAGACTAAGAATGTGAGATGGTGTGTGTGTGTGTGTGTGTGTGTGTGTGTGTGTGTGTGTGTGTGTGTGTATTTTGGCTAATTTCACCCAAGCTTCAGATTTTGAATCTTATTCAACCCTTACCCCACTGGGTGGTCTTAAGTAGTAATCTCATATGCAATAACTACTTCTCTCATTATACCTTACCTGGGACCCACTTTAACTGGGGTATGTGGAAGCTGGAAGTTACAAAAAAGCTCTGTGTTCCCGAAGCATAAACTCCTAAAGTACGTTAGGCATCCCACAAATAATTTTTCTAAGTATTTGGCTTACAGTTGCTTACCTCCACTTGTATGACATACTGGTACATGTCTGCATTAAACAGTGTTAAACAGTGATAGCATCTAAAAAACAGGGAACATGAAAAAAATATAACCCTGAGCCCACCTTTTGGGAAAAGTTAAAAATGGCATTGAAGTATATCCAAGTACTCACCTTTTGCTAAAGGAAAATAACAGTGGGATGGAAGCAGGCAAAAACTGACTTCTCAGTGCTCAAATAAGAGTACTTAATAATCACAGAACAGACAAAAAGGAAACTTGAGGAAAAACAAACAGCTCCTTTCCACTGTGTCAGTGCGGCAAAATAAACTAGGTCTTCACCTGTGGATTCACGTCCTCTTGGATGTCATGTCATCAATGTGTCTGCAAGCCTCCAGTTAACTTCCCACCAAATTTGGAATCACATTCCTTCCCCTGGCCTCAAAGTCCTATTGCCCTGATCCCCACTCTACTCAAACCCTACCTCTCTCTTTCCATTAAGTCCCAGCTACTTGAGCCCCCTTTTTTTTTTTCCCCCAATCACTGGAACATGCTTAGCTGTTTGCTGCCTTGGGGCCTTTGCACTTGCATTCCTTTTTCCATGGCTGACTCTTCCTCATTCAAATCAGATGGTGGCACTCAAAGCATCCTCTCAGACCCAGTTTATCACATACCCTGATTTATTTTATTAAACAGAACTTAATTATAAGCTAATATTTCTTGTTACTTTTCCCACATTAGCCACTAACTAGGATATACGGCAGTGATGGCGAACCTTTTGAGCTCGGCATGTCAGCATTTTGAAAAACCCTAACTTAACTCTGGTGCCGTGTCACATTTAGACATTTTTTGATATTTGCAACCATAGTAAAACAAAGATTTATATTTTTGATATTTATTTTATATATTTAAATGCCATTTAACAAAGAAAAATCAACCAAAAAAATGAGTTCGCGTGTCACCTTTGACACACGTGTCATAGGTTCGCCATCACTGATATACGGTCTATTATATCAGCAGAGCCTAAAATGGAATGTAGCATGTAGTAAAATAAGTGCTCAACATACATATATTGAATTATTGAATGCTAGCATGCAACGCACTGCTTTTAAAGAAAAAGACTAATGGCCTTGGAAAATAAATTTTAAATTCACAAATATTACAATTTTGCTGAGGAACATAACACTAAGTACAAAATTGAGGTGAATTAATACCATTTAAAAGGTAGACAAAAATAATAAAAGGTAGCTTCTAGGAATCTGAACAAAAATGAACGAGGCAGAAATGCCAACTTAAAGTTGTTTATATAAATTAACCCATCCAGTTTAAAGTAGTTTTCCTATGCTTAATTCTGAAAAAGGAAGAATATACTTCCCATTTTAATAAATCACATCAAATAAGTAGGAAGAGTTTCAATAACAAGGCCATAGATACACTGAAACCCCTTTTTATATTAAAAGTTAAAATGAAAGACAAATCCAGATTGAACATAGTGATTGCAAAATATAATGCAATTTGAACAATTAAAATTATGAAAATATACAAAATTGATGGGCAACACAGCTAGGCATTTGTACATTTTTCATTGTTTGGAGAACACTAAAAATTTATCTACCTTTAATCCACATCAGATAAATGATTTAAACCAAATGTTTGCTTTGGAGAGTTTTAACTTAGGATTCTCAGTAGTATAAAAAGCAGTAATTTTTCAGTCTGTAAACAGTAGTCGTGTTTTTCTCCTTTCCTTTTTTAAATAGCAATTTACCACACAAAAACAAAACAAAAAACCCATACAAACCAAAAAACAGCAGCAGCAGCAGCAGCAGCAGCAGTGGGTTATTTAAGAATTCTCTTCAAATACCAATGACATACGATTGCTGGAGAGGTTGCTTTTTACTCATGTAAGAATATATATATATATATATATATATATTTAACTGTACACAATTTATAGTGCATGACAGTTTCCAAAAGAACAGATTAATAAAAGATATTGGCCATTTCTGCATAATTTCATTCTTTTTACAATTTTCTCAAAACGCAAGAGGTTGGCTCTAATTGAAATGCTACGTTTAGTAGGAAAATCAAGTAACAAAGGAAATATAACCTCGACTTAACATTGCCCCTAAAACCCACCGTTTGAGTTTTTAGTAGAGGTCCCAAGCAAGAGACTAGTTAGGTAGACACTGGAGTCACACACTGTCCCTGAGGACCAAGGCCAGCCCACTGAACACACACATGCTAGATTGATCAAGGTCAGTTGAAGACGTTTCAAAGAGCATTTCTACTTTTATGTACAGTATTTTTGGATATTCAAAGAAACATCATTTCAAAAACACATGCCATACACACATACCCCCCTATACACACACAAAATCCCATCTAAACAGGCCATTGTTTTATGAAATTATGATATGTTGTCATTAAATTACATTTGGAATCAATATTTTCAATTCATCTTGTTGACCAGTTCTTCCTTTGGGGATGAGGTGTGACAGCTGTGGCTACCAACTGACATCAAAAACAGTATTTTCAAATTACTTGATGGACTAAGTTTTCCAACAAGTCTTATTTTAAACGAGTAATGTAGTAATGCAGTAATTTTCTTAAAAATTTCCTTTGGGTTTAAACAGTTATTAATCACCCTATCAAACTGTAAGTCTAAGAAAGTCAAGATGAGGAGACAAAATACAATTGTGTTGCATACAGAGACTTTCCAAGCTCTCATTCAGTTGCTTTTGGAAGAAAAAAGTATCACATTTCACAGAAGTGAGTTGAAAAGGACATTTAAGGTCTTCAAGACCAATCCTCCACCAGGTGCTTGAATTTCCTCATCAAATTCATTTCTTTGCTCTTACAAAATTACTAACTTGAACAGTATTTAGGTAACAACAACCAAAAACAGAAGCACAGATTCAAATACAAAAAAAGTTACCAAAGGAATTATATAAACTGTATAACATTTTCAAGAGCAATGTTTATCTTTTCTGTCAGACCTAGTTCAGAAGCTGTTGTCTTCGGGAGCTCCAGGTGAACAACGCGTACACCATCCTGGTGTAATTCTCAAGTTTGTAGTAAACTGAACCTCCAAACCAATGAGAAACATTTCCTCTGCCAACCTAAAACTTAAAAGCCTATGTTAAGTCCATAATACACATTCCTTCCTTCCTTCTCAAACCCCCCACTTAAAAAAACAACACTAAAGTCTTATATCTTTATTTTCAAGCATATATATGGTGCATATATATGTATACATATATATGCACCATATATATGCTTGAAAATATACATATATATGTAAAAACATATACATATACATATATATATATATATCTCACAAAACCAATGACATTGGTATTACACTTGCCTGCATAAATTATGTACACTTCTCTTCTTTAAAAGTGATTCCCATCTTTCCCAAAGAGATAAAAGACGAGCTAGTCCTTAGCAGGCTTATGAGTGGTCTGCATTGCTTTCCCCTCCAAACAGCTGCCAGGTAACAGAAGCCGTAGAAGCCTATCTGCGATCTAACTCTCACCCGAGCTAGGATGGGGATGCCTTGACTAACAGGACTATTCAGCCAGAAAATGAGCACCTGTAGTTGTCTGAGTGGTGCCCTTCAGTGGCAGGTGCTTATGCCAAATTTCATCTGAGGCCCTTTGGGTACCTGCCTTGGGTTCTGCAGGAGCCAAGCAGCTGAAGAAGCCTCAAAACCAAACTGCTAATGTGGAAAGAGGGCCTGCTCCCAGTTATGGTCCCCCTATACTTCTCCTTTCTGCTTCCTAAGGGCTCAAAGACCAGACCAAAATGTCCACTGCTGTAATGGCAGGGTCATTCAGCTGCTCTGACATCGACGCTTTATGCTTAATTTCTATCACTGCTTTTATAGGACCCTCCTCCACCAGATGTTTCTGGTGAGAGAAGGGCAGAAGAAAAGTGGGGTTCTCTTGTGGCTGCCATATGCATATGAACATGTATAAAAAAGTGGTCAAACCCAGATGAGGGTCCCGCTTCCGGTATATGTACAATAATTTAATCAGTTGTATACATTTAATACCTAAAAAATTAATTCACGATCAAAGTCCTTCATGCATTTTATGAGGAAGTTCTGGATTCAAATGATGGTCAACCATAAAGATTTTTGCCTGGGAAGATGATATTGTTTTCTGCCATAGCGTCATCAGTGCCTATGGTTCACACTTCCTTAAATTTTTAGTTTCTTTGTGGTCTCAAGTCTTTTTTTCAGCAGCTCCCCAATTTCCAGAAGTGAGTGCAGATAACTGCTTTGCACCTTCCCTTGCACAGTCTTTGAAAACTTTCTCTCTTCCTATAAAGGAGACAAGAATTAGTGGTCCCGCTCAGAAAGCATTCCCCCAGATAACAGCTCCTCAGCTATAAATCAAAATTACCATTACCTTTGTCTGACTGCAAACTCCATCAGAATAGAGTGTCATTTTCAATTTCATAAAATGCAAAGGCTAAAGCTCATTACAGATGTATATTTTTCCATCTGATTTTTCACTGAGACATTCTTTATTTCAAGTAGCCTTTGTCATTAGTTATATGAAGTCAAAAAAACTGACATTTCTAATGAGAAGCTTTCATCAACAAAAGTAGAAAATTGTTACTAGTTTGGACACAACATCACTATTTTCTTATGAGATATACAAGGTGGAAAAAGTGATATTTCTGATTATTAATTTCATCAGAAAAATGTAGAAATTTTATTATTATTATTATTATTTTAATCCTAACCCAAGGACATGCTTAGAGAGAGGAAGAGAGGGAGAGTTATGCTTATGTACAATACAGGCATCAAGTTTAACAGTATCATCATTTTTAGTTATAATCAACAAGTCTCTCTCCATATTGAAAAGTCCATGGGTTCTAGGGGCCAAATAACTAAAAAATGAGCAAAGCTTTTCTCAGCCTACTCAGATGTGTGGGTTAAATATTTGCTGCTAATTTGACTTGTGGTAGAGAATATAAAAAACAAAGGGGCCGAAACCGGTTTGGCTCAGTGGATAGAGCGTCGGCCTGCGGACTGGAGGGTCCCAGGTTCGATTCCGGTCAGGGGCATGTACCTGGGTTGCGGGCACATCCCCAGTAGGAGATGTGCAGGAGGCAGCTGATCGATGTTTCTCTCTCATCGATGTTTCTGACTCTCTATCTCTCTCCCTTCCTCTCTGTAAAAAATCAATAACATCTATTTAAAAAAAAATAAAATTAAAAAAGGGGACGGAGTATTCAAACACAGTAAGGAGGTTGACCAAGAACTGGTTAGGTTTACATGAAGTTGGCAGTGTTCCAAAGCCTAGAAGAAACCAGGGAAGCACATCTTATGACCCAACAATCTACTATCTGAGATTTAATCTAGCTCAGAAACACAAATGTGCTTAAGAAAGTATATACAAATATACACTGAGTGGTCAGATTATTATGACCACCTGACGTTTGTAGGCAAATTAGCTATAATTTCGCACTGAAGTTGCTAGAGGGCCAGACCATTATAAATAGGGAAGCAGGTTGTTTACC